ATGCACTTGTTGCTGCTCTAGCGCGGGGTGTTGGGCCAGGGGATAACCAACCTAAGCCTGCCTGACTGCTGGGGCGGCCTGGCTCGACTGGACCGCGGGATACATCTATGCCCCAGGCTATGGTACAGTGCGCGGCGAGACTTATTGCATGGGAATGCGCCAGGGAACTGGCTGCCACATTTCTCATGCGAGTTTTCAGCCAAGCAGTCCCGGGAAGTTTTCACGGCCCTTCGGCGTATTGGGGTAGGCTCGGCTAAGAGAAAGAAGGTGTCACAACCAGCTATCGTATTACTGAAGGATGGCAGCACTGCTCAGACGGCCACCGAAGCCATGCACAGATGGCTAGAGTTCTTCCCGGACCAGGATCTGGATACTCAGGTTCCTGCCCCAGACATCCTTACCCTTGCCCAGGAATCGGATGTCCCCCTCAACAACATCCAGGATCTGGCTGTCCAGTGTATTCCGACGAGGGTGGAGTTTGAACAGGAGCTCCTCAGGGCGCCCCCCCTCTGCGCGAATGGGCTTGATGGGGTCGCGGGGACTCTCCTGGAGCACTGTCCCCAAACGTGCGCCAAAGTTTATTACCAGCTGTTGCTTAAGTACTTCTTGGGACTTCGGGAACCCCTCCAATGGAAAAGCTCGATGCTGCATGAGATTTACAAGAGCAGAGCCCCCCTCAGGAGTGCAAGTCTTGTCGGGCAATTGCTGTGGGACCTCAGATTGCCAAGAGGTCGCATTCTACTTAAGTTCTAGGCTCCAGCCGTTTCTTGAGAAGTATGCCGCTGACTCCCAGCACGGAGGCATCGGGCACCGTGGCACGGACTTCGCGTCACATTTACCCGCGCGCTGCAGCAGCTCGCAGTCAAAAGGTCTACTACCCTCGGGTTATGATTCATTGACCTGGAGGCGGCGTTCCACCGCGTTATCCGGGAGATCGTGGTGCGCTTCAACTCCGCAGGCGAGGTTTCTGATGAAAGAGTGGCTCAACTTATGCAGGCGTCTGGGCTCTCTCCGGAGGCCATGCGCGATCTCGTTGGGGCCCCGTCTCTTCCAAAACCACCCTCGAGGAGTTGGAGGTCCCCGAGCATCTGTCTTCCCTCCTGGCCGAAACCCTCACGAACACTTGGGCCACCACCCCGGGGTCGGGCAAAATCGCGGTCATTTCCACGGGGCCCCGACCTGGAAAGCACGTTGGCCTCCCTGGTGTTCTTGTTCACTATATCAAGGTGCCTCCACCAAGCTCATCGGGCGCTCGAGCAGGCCCACCTCCTCTGTGAGTTCCCGGCCCCCACGCGCAAGACCCTGGACATCGGGGTCCCCGATGGCACTACAGTATCGGACGAGGGCGCCAATGATGTAGATGACTGCATGTTTTTCGTGCTTGCCGATGCCACGCTCCTAGTCCAGCAGCTGCAGGCCGTCTCGGCCGTTGTCGCCAACGCGTTCACGCCAGCTGGTTTGCGACTTAACATGGGACTGGATAAATCAGCTACTATGCTTATGTTTCGGGGGCAGGGGTCAGCGACGGCTCGCAAACAGTTTTGGTTGGAAAATTCTGGGCAAATTTCGGTTCCTGCTTCGACTACCTATCCGGATGAGGAGGCTATTGGGGCGGCCCACACTTACAAACATCTTGGGTGCCTTGTCTCCAACAAGATGGATCTCGGGCCCGAGCTGGCCAACAGGGTGAATTCCACGGCAGGCCCCCAGCGGACTCTCAGACGGGTCGCTTTCCAGAACCAGCCCCTCCCCACCTCGGACAAGTTCATGTTGGCGGATGTGTTGATCATGTCTAGGCTCTACAACGCTAGTGTCTGGCATGCGCCAACAGCGGCCCAATTTCGCAGATATGCCACCCAGATGTCGAAGTTGTACCGTTCTGCGCTTGGGCTACCAGCATACGACCCCAATGCCTAGAGCGACGAGGCCATCTTGGCCATGGCGAACCGCCAAGAAGTGACTACATTGCTTCGCTGGCATAGACTTCGGTACCTCCCGAGGCTCTACAGGTACGGACCCCCGCACTTGTTCGCAGTTATCAGACTCTCTGCCAGAATCAAGGGTTCATGGCACTCTCTTATTATCGAAGACTTGCGCTGCATACGTGACAGAGTTTCGGAATATCATGGTTTTCCCACACTGGTTGGTGATGTCCCAAAGTGGGAGGCGGAAATCTGCAAGCCCGGCAAGGCATGGGCCAATCAACTTGCCAAAGCCGTTGCTGCCCGCATTCGATGGCAGGCTAGGAACTTTGTTGCACAGAATCGTATAAAGGGTTATCTTGGAGGAGGCGATGGAGGAAGGAGTCCCTTGTCATCGACTCAACGTACCTACCTTACCCGGAAGCGCTACCTGTGCCCCTACCGCCCCTACCACACACCGAAACCTGCTGCGCTTCGTGCACGCGTTTCGTCTCAGCACGTTCAACATTGCCGTCTTGCTGCTAGGTACTTGGCGTCTCAGATCTGTCCAGTCTGTCTGACTTGCTTCGGGACCCAGGAGCTTGCGGTGGACCACATGGCATATGGTAATCCTCGTTGCGTGCTGTCGGCGCTCTTGCATGTTGTCCCCGTGGATACAACTCAGCAAGACCAGTGCGCCCTGGACGAAGCTGCTGCAAGGACGGTGGCTCGGTCAAAAGGTGCTATGCGTCGTGAGGCGGTTGTCCCAGCTCACAGAGCTCCTGGACCTATTATCTAACATTCAAGACTAATATATCGTATGCTGAAGCTTGGGCCCTGATCAAGGAACCCGAGTACAAAGCCGACCCAGATAGGCCCCTCACCATTAATGTTGACGATGTCCAGGACCCCAACGACGAAGAGTGGCCCTTTAGGACTGCGGAGTACATGGGGGGCCCTGGTGATTAGCTTCCAAGGGGAGTTCAATATTCTGTTTTCGCGTTTGTGCACTTTGTTTCTGGAGCTCGGCGACATGGGGACCTCCAAGAAAGCCTCGAACGTGTGCGCCTTTCGGGACCCTGGACGGTGGTTGCGAATTCCTTGGACATTACCGTGGACCACAACCTCGGCGACCTCACCCAGTCCTCGATTGTTGTCAAATGGTGTGATTATCTCAGATCGGGACGTGCCCTCGGCATAGCAGGAGGCCCGCCGTGTGAGTCCTGGTCAACCGTCAGATGGAATCGACTCACGGATTCTGCTGGTGCTGGCCCGCCTCCCTTGCGAACGTACCGACACATTTGGGGGAGACCGGACGTCTCTATCAGGCAGCACTGGCATCTTGTTGTGGGAAACCAGCTGCTCATAAGTGCCCATCACCTCCTCATGGTCTGTCTTCAAGTGGGGGCTTGTGGGGTCGTGGAACATCTGGAGCAGGCGTGGTGGGAACCCAGGGCCCCAACTCCTGGGAGCTGGACACTGCGAAGGCTATCGCCGCTTCGCCCGCCACCCAAATGATCAGTTTCGACCATTCGACCAGTGCACATCCGGCCAGGTCAGCAAAGCTCCCACTACCCTTCTGGCTGTTAGGCTGCCCGAGCTCCAGCACACGATTCGTGGAACCGGATGTGTTGGAATAGGTTCTCACCCTCGTAAATTCCTGGAAGGGAGGGGACGGGACGGTGAATGGAAAACTGCCCCCAAAAAGCGATGCCCCCCTGGCAATGTACGACGCCATGGCTAGTGCTGTTCATGACTACTTGGATCGGGCATGGAGTGCCACAGGTATTGATCAGAATACGTCGGACCTGCAGACGAACTCAGCTCGTTCTTCCAGGCCCTGGACCCGTATTTAGAACATAGTACTGCTATTGCCCAAGAGTTCTCGGTGTTTTTTGACCAAAGAAGGAAGAAGCATGATCCTCGATTCGACCGGCCTGTTCTCCTTCCTCGGCCTCCAGGGGTGCAAGAAGGGCGGAACAGTAAGGAGCATGAGGATCAGTCCATGGCGTCATCAGCGAGGAGGAGGACCCGTTCCGCGACGAGGAGCGGTACGTCACTGCCGCCAGCATGGCGGCTGATGCCGCACCGGGGGCCCCTGGCCTCGTCCCCTCCCCTCCTCCCCCTGCCCACCCCACTGTGCCGGAGCTCCCCCCTGAGCTCAAGGCCTTAATTCACAGGAAGCGGGAGGCCGCCAGGGAGAGGAAGTGGCAGCGACAGCGCGCTGCCCTCGGCCTTGATCCCCAACCCGGATCCCTGTTTGACCGGGTCCCCACTACAGGCTGGGACCCGTTCGCCCACCAATCTTCTCAATGACACGGTTGGGGTCTTTGCATCACCGGCAGCGAGTCGACTCTAGCCGATACCCTCCCCCTCCTCCTCCTCCTCCTCCTCCTCCTCCTCCTCCTCCTCCGCCTCCGCCTCCGCCTCAGCCTCCGCCTCCGCCTCCGCCTCCGCCTCCGCCTCCGCCTCCGCCTCCTCCACCTCCTCCTCCCCATCCTCCTCCTCCCCCTCCTCCTCTCTCCTCCTCCTCCTCCCCTCCTCCTCCTCCTCCTCCTCCTCCTCCTCCTCCTCCTCCTCCCTCCTCCTCCTCCTCCTCCTCCTCCTCCTCCTCCTCCTCCTCCTCCTCCTCCTCCTCCTCCTCCTCCTCCTCCTCCTCCTCCTCCTCCTCCTCCTCCTCCTCCTCCTCCTCCTCCTCCTCCTCTCCTCCTCCTCCTCCTCCTCCTCCTCCTCCCTCCTCCTCCTCCCTCCTCCTCCTCCTCCTCCTCCTCCTCCTCCTCCTCCTCCTCCTCCTCCTCCTCCGCCTCCCTCCTCCTCCTCCGCCTCCGCCTCCGCCTCCGCCTCCGCCTCCGCTCCGCCTCCGCCTCCGCCTCCGCCTCCCCTCCTCCTCCTCCTCCCCCTCCTCCCCCTCCCCCTCCTCCTCCTCCTCCTCCTCCTCCTCCTCCTCCTCCTCCTCCTCCTCCTCCTCCTCCTCCTCCTCCTCCTCCTCCCATCTTCCGCTCCTCCTCCTCCTCCGCCTCCTCCTGCTCCTCCTCCTCCGCCTCCACCTCCGGCTCCTCCTGCCCCCTCCTCGAGACGGCAGGGGCGGCGGGCATTGTCCTGGTCGTGTTCTGAGCAATCAGGGTTCCGACGGTGGACTCGGCGGAGGCGTCGTCCGCGGCGGCGCTGCCTCCCACCCGTAACACCATCCCGCTCGGGGCGCACCGTGCAGCCTTCCGACCAGCCATGGCATGAGGGGCAGGAGGGAGGATGGCAGGAGGCGGAGGAGGAGGAGGAGGAGGAGGAGGAGGAGGAGGAGAAGAGGCAGGACGAGCAGGAGGAGGAGGAGGAGGAGGAGGAGGAGGAGGAGGAGGAGGAGGAGGGGGAGGGGGATGAGGAGGAGGGAGGAGGAGGGAGCATGGCAGGAGGAGGAGGAGGAGGAGGAGGAGGAGGAGGAGGAGGAGGTTCCAGCAGACAGTGAGCGGCGAGGGGCCGACGAGGCGAGGCTGAGGGCCCCGTCGGCGGGGGGCGGCCCACCCTTGGCGCCGAGCGCAGGATGCCCCTACTGGGGGGGGCCCAGGGGCACACCAATGAACGCACAAGTCGCAGGATTCCCCCGCTCAGGGCGCACCATGCCAGGAGGGAGCATCCGCATGAGGCGAAGTGGAGGTCGGGCGGGTCCGCGAAAGGTTCCCTTCACCGCTCTGCTGCTCTCTTCGCCCCCGGCAGGGGCGAGGTCCATTCCAGCAGTGAGAGCTCGACGAGAACCTCACATCGGTGGTACTAATGCCTAAGAGGCCTCCAGAAGAATGCATAGGAGACTGGAGACTGAACCTATGTCGTCCTGGGGGGCGGCCCTATGAGGCGCTGGGCGCGGCTCCAGCGCGCAGGCAACTGCCGATAAAATAATCCTGGCCAAGGACCCAAACTGATGCTGGTGTGAGTACCGCATGTCAGGTGGGACGCAGGAGGATGAGCTACCGAAATTTAAACGCGGGGCCGACGTGGACGAGGGACGCGTGCGGACTGTGCAACTAGGGCCTTGGGTGGATCTCCCTATGGGGCCACGAGACATACGTGCGAGGGGGATCTCGCCATGATGCAGGGACGCATACGGACAAGCGGGCGTGTGCCGAACCGGGCGTGACATCCACGTGAGGACGGTGCCACTGGGGCCTTAGGTGGAGCTCCCGTCGGGGCCACGAAGCGTGTGATG